AGTTATGTTAAGGGTTAACAGCATTTGACAGCTTAATGCAGTTCTAAGCTCTGTGACTTTGCACTTTGCCATCCTGTCAGCTCTTGCTCTTCCTGTATGGGTGAGAGACTGAGCTAAACCTCAGCCTGTCAACATTTCCTGCATGTATGAGAAATGGAGTTGCTCTCTAGCCCACATTGCAGAAAGCCCCCTAGCAACATCCCCCACCTCCATGACCCAGTTTGCCCTCCTGGTGAAGCCCCCCTACCCAAAGCCCCTTACCCACCATTAACCACCTGGCAAAGACCCCAATTTAGGTGACTCTGCCTGGATACAGATGGAGAGCCAATAGAAAAGCTTTCTTGCTTGCTCAAGAAAGATATATAACCCTAGTTCTCCCTGCATTCAGGGCTCAGGACTTTTGGAACAGTAGTTCCCCTGAGACGAATAGCATAATAAATTATCTGACTTCATCTCTCTGAGTGTCTGCATTTCCTTTGATGACTTCTGCAGTAACATTAGGAATTTCAGAAAATTCTACAATGGGTATTACCAAGGGCATGAATTGATCTTGAATAGCTCTTGGTAGTCGATGACATATCCAACAATCAGTTGTTTCCTGCATTTGCAAGGGTTTGTGAGAGCCAAACAATGGTGTTGTGCTTCCAGGCAGAGGGCATTGCTGCAAGATACATAAAAAAAGTATTTTACTCCTTGTTTTCTTGAAAAGATGGATTCCCTTATATTTCAGTTCTTGTCAAAGAGGATCTTGATCAGTTTTGAGGCTACAATTAGAAAGGCCAAGGAGACAATCTTGAAAAGGTCTACAAAAAGGCCCTATAAAGAAGAGAAATAAAAAGTGTTCAATATCTGCCAGGCCCAGAGACAGTAAGCCAGCTTGTTAAGACACCAGGTCAAGTAGGACTTTTCTATCCCCTGAATGATTCTCCCTCTCTTGTCCCCTCACCACAGACTCTGCTGTCTGCCATTTTCATTTTAGGCTCCTAGGCCTGAGCTGAAGGTGGGCAGTGGGTGAACTTTTGACACTTTAATATAGATTGGACATTTAATTTCTAATTGAGGCCCTGTCCAAAATCTAGTACTATTTGGGCTTTGTGTTATTCTTGTGAAGAATATTCATGAAGTTTGGTGAATTTTCATTCGGACATAGGTAAAAAGTTTCTCCTACCACATTAATTTTGAAGGAACAAGAAGAGACAAAAATTAGTTTTATCTTTATTAAGACTTGCTTACTTAAGAAATAATTACACTTAAACATAGCCTTCATAGGACTTGACCCAAGTGGTTTAAGGACAGAATTGTAAGACATAATGTAAGAAAAATTGTGAGGATTTATCTGGAAATGGTGTAAAATAAATTTTCCTCTTGTGAATATGGTACTGAGAGCTTTGACCAATGTCATTTTGGGGATGTAAATGTTCACTTTATCACCACTTATTTATATGAGAATCACTGGGGATCTGGTGCAACATTATGACATTTTGTGTTCAGTTGATGGAAATGATCATATATATATATATATATATATATATATACAAAGAGCATTATGATCTTTTTACATTAGTCTATATCACTTAAAGTAATACTTTTTGGTGTCAATGTGATTGGAATGATAAGATGAGATATTGAAACAGTATGACAGTAACTAATTGTGAGATTGTGAGGTAGGTGGGGTGCATGTGCTTTATACATATAGATTAGATTACCTTTAAAGGGAAAATTCACAGTTTAAAATATTCTCACATATAACTAAAAGTCCAAAGTTGAGAAACACTAGATCTGACTTTTTAATTCCTGAGTATTTCCAAGAAATAAGAATTTTGAGTTTTGAGGTACTATGAGGAGCAAAGAAAAAGCTTCCTCCATCATCCCCAGAACTCTAATAAGCATGACAGCAGAGGAAGCTAGGCTACTCTGGGTCAATGATATGGGAAAAACCTGAAACTTTATTCCTTTCTGAAATATTCACATAATCAAAAGTGACTTACAATGTATGCAGAAGATAAAGTTCCTTCTAATCTACCTGGAACAAATCAGCACATTTCTTTCACCTTTCCTTTCTCTTCAGGCATTAATCCTCATCCTCCCTTCTGCAGATTCCAGCTGCCAGCCCCTCCCATGGACTCCTCAGGGCAGCTGGCTGGCTGATACTGCCTGTCACATCCAAATATAAGGATCCTATTTTGAGATCTTGTGCAAAGAGATACTCATTAGTATGAGGTTTTTTTCACTGGCAATATAAGGGTGTGCTATAGATTGAATGTCTCCACAAACTCACTGAGGCTTAATCCCCACTATAACTGTTGAGGGTGGAAAAGCCTATTTTGGGTCCTTGAAGGTGTGATTAGATTGTGAGGACCATGCCCTAGTGAATGGATGAATCCACTGATGGTTTAATTGGGGTCACAAGTGTGGGAGAAAATCTTTGGAGAAATCCTTGTAGAGATGAGACTACCCCTCACCATGAACTATGTCTTTGTATGTGTTCGTGTGTGTATAAAACAGAGTGGGCTTTTGTAGTGCTATTCTGAGAGCCTAGCATAAGACGCTCCAGATTGGTGGGACCAGGGGACTGAGTTTGGAAAAATCTAAGCAGGAAGATACACTGGCTGACTTACTGGTAGAGTCAAGTGAGGGCTGCTGGTTGATATCAGCATACAGTAACAGTATTCCTACATTAGTAGTATTCCTCATGACCAGAGATCCATGGGTGTTTCCCCATGGACTACAAAGGGGAGCCATAATGAGGCCTTCTAAGGACCAGTCCAATAGGGTCACTTGGAAGGGTAGAGCATGTTGAAGGTAACCACTGGCTCTCTAAGGGCTAAAGTCACCAGTGATCAGACATTTTCCTCTTACATCAAGGATACTACAATTAGAAAGGCCAAGGAGACAATCTTGAAAAGGTCTACAAAAAGGCCCTATAAAGAAGAGAAATAAAAAGTGTTCAATATCTGCCAGGCCCAGAGACAGTAAGCCAGCTTGTTAAGACACCAGGTCAAGTAGGACTTTTCTATCCCCTGAATGATTCTCCCTCTCTTGTCCCCTCACCACAGACTCTGCTGTCTTCCGTTTTCATTTTAGGCTCCTAGGCCTGAGCTGAAGGTGGGCAGTGGGTGAACTTTTGACACTTTAATATAGATTGGACATTTAATTTCTAATTGAGGCCCTGTCCAAAATCTAGTACTATTTGGGCTTTGTGTTATTCTTGTGAAGAATATTCATGAAGTTTGGTGAATTTTCATTCAGACATAGATAAAAAGTATCTCCTACCACATTAGTTTTGAAGGAACAACAAGAGACAAAAATTAGTTTTATTTTTCTTAAGTCTTGCTTACTTAGGAAATAATTACACTTAAACATATCCTTCATAGGACTTGACCCAAGTGGTTTAAGGACAGAATTGTAAGACATAATGTAAGAAAAATTGTGAGGATTTATCTGGAAATGGTGTAAAATAAATTTTCCTCTTGTGAATATGGTACTGAGAGCTTTGACCAATGTCATTTTGGGGATGTAAATGTTCACTTTATCACCACTTATTTATATGAGAATCACTGGGGATCTGGTGCAACATTATGACATTTTGTGTTCAGTTGATGGAAATGATCATATATATATATATATATATATATATATACAAAGAGCATTATGATCTTTTTACATTAGTCTATATCATTTAAAGTAGTACTTCTTGGTGCCAATGTGATTGGAATTATAAGATGAGATATTGAAACACTACGACAGTAACTAATTGTGAGATTGTGAGGTAGGTGGGGTGCATGTGCTTTATACATATAGATTAGATTACCTTTAAAGGGAAAATTCACAGTTTAAAATATTCTCACATATAACTAAAAGTCCAAAGTTGAGAAACACTAGATCTGACTTTTTAATTCCTGAGTATTTCCAAGAAATAAGAATTTTGAGTTTTGAGGTACTATGAGGAGCAAAGAAAAAGCTTCCTCCATCATCCCCAGAACTCTAATAAGCATGACAGCAGAGGAAGCTAGGCTACTCTGGGTCAATGATATGGGAAAAACCTGAAACTTTATTCCTTTCTGAAATATTCACATAATCAAAAGTGACTTACAATGTATGCAGAAGATAAAGTTCCTTCTAATCTACCTGGAACAAATCAGCACATTTCTTTCACCTTTCCTTTCTCTTCAGGCATTAATCCTCATCCTCCCTTCTGCAGATTCCAGCTGCCAGCCCCTCCCATGGACTCCTCAGGGCAGCTGGCTGGCTGATACTGCCTGTCACATCCAAATATAAGGATCCTCCCTCCTTCACCATTCACAGAATTTTGAGAGGTTTTCCAGTTAGGGTCTAGGTTTTCACTGAACTTTCCAGCTTATATCGGGGTTTGAGGGTCCATCACTGTAGATACCCTCAGTGAGGCAAGCTGAGGCGCAGATTTCCAGAGTAGCATTTTCTGGGAGCATCCTTTCTAATTTTCAGGTTGGCAAGAAAATAATCCTAATTCTGTGAGTGTCCTGTTCTCTTATAGATTAGCTCTTATGAACTCATTCATAAGAGACTAAAATAAAATCTGGAAAAGGAGTTGGTGCATACACACATGCGCACAATTATTCTTACATTTCTTTCTGAAGAAAAATTTGTAAAGGAAGCAAATTTATCATGTGAAGATGACCAGATGTGAACAGAATTCAAGTAAGGCCCATCATACATTGGTTGAAATAATTATGAGCTTTAAGCAGTCATAGTCTAATGCAATCCTATCAGAATAATAAAATATGTGTATATGTATATATATATATATATATATATATATATATTTACACACATGTATGAGTATACGAGTATACTCACACATACACATTACATATGCATACACACATACACATATTTATCCACAGATGTCTTAATTGTCTGTTTCCCAACAAGATTATTTTATATTTTTAGTCCATGCAACAAAAACTAAACTGTTAAGGAAATACACATTAGAACCCTCATATATCATTTATCAACTAAAGTCATACTTTGTTACACCATAATTTTTTCATGGCATTTTTCACTTCTGCATTCCTCAGTGTATAGATCAGAGGGTTGAGTAAAGGTGTCCCAATTGTATAAAACACAGCCACCATCTTGTCTATTGGAAAGGTGGTTGGTGGGCGTGTGTATATAAATATACACAGACCAAAAAATATGACAAACACAATAAAGTGGGAGGTGCATGTAGAAAGGGCTTTTCGCCTTCCTTCTGTGCTGTGGTTTCTCAGAGAGTATAAAATGACAATATAGGAGATAAGCAGGATTAAGAAACTCACCATGCATATGGCCCCGCTATTAGACACAACTAGCAAATTTATCACAGAAGTGTCCATGCAAGCAAGTTTCAACAAGGGCTGCAAATCACAGAAATAGAGATCAATCACATTTGGGCCACAGAACGGTAATCTCAAAGCCAGGAAAATTTGTGCTGAAGAATGGATACAAGATCCCACCCAGGCCAGAATCACCAGCACACCACAGACACGCTGGCTCTTGATGGCTGTGTATCGCAGGGGCTTACAAATGGCTACATAGCGATCAAAGGCCATAAGGATGAGCACAAAGATCTCCATGCACCCAAAGAAGTGGGCTGCAAAGACCTGAGTCATGCACTCATTGTAGGAAATGGTCTTCTTCTGAGAAAGTGCATCCGCAATCAATCTAGGAGCTGTGGTTGTAGAGAAGCAAGCATCAGCAAAGGACAAGTAGAACAGGAAAAAGTACATGGGACCCCCAAGGGTCTGGCTTGTTTTAATAGTCACCACAATGAGAAAGTTCCCCAACAAAGTCTCAAGGTAAAGAATCAAGAAAATCCCAAATATTGCTTTTTGCTTTCCATCATCATGGGCCAATCCAAATAGAATGAATTCAGTTACACTGTTATTCATCACTGTGTTAGAGTCTGTAGATAGGCTGCAGGTGACAAATGTTTAATCTGCAGAGAGAACAAGAAATGCCATCTTGGGAAGATTAGTGGGCTGACCTCTGAATTCCTTGGTTCTGTTGCATGCTCTGTTACAATCTTTGTAAATCTGCAGATGCCCAGGCCTCTGCAAGATTTATCTGTTGATTCAGAAACTCACCAGATCAGGCCAAATCTTTCACATTTGGGGAATAAAAAATAAATGCCCTTCAAAAATTTTGATTTCTATCAAGATTCAGAAATTCAGAACTTGTTCTTTCCTTGGAAAAGTGACAACCACTTTGAAATTTAGACTTTATTTATGAGAAATAAAAAGGCAAATACTTACCCTACCTTATTCTGAATTTTCAAAAGAATTAGAAAAGATTATACACACACATATATACACACACTTTCACACATACATTTTATGTATTATGCATCTTATCTCTATGCTTTGCGATCTGAAAAACACTATTCCAATATAACTCATCACTGAAATTCTTGGAGAATTCTTCCTGAGAAAATCTTCTCAATTCAGTTTCTTCATTTTTGTATCCATTATCCCTGGCCCCTTAGTAACTTGGGTGAACAATGCTTTACACAAAACCTATTTTAACAATCTTTTGCCTATGCCTCTGTGTCAAGATGTCAGCTTACTGATCAGCATGATATAAACAATGTCTGGATAATACCATGAGTTTGGCATAATTGAAGGAAACTACCCTTTACCTTCTTTACTGCACTCTTAAATGTATCCCATAAGAATATTGAGCTTCTCTGCCTATGAATATGACCAGTTATAAGATTTCTAATATTCCTATTTGTGGAGGATACCAACATTAATGAAGCAAATGTATTTTACAGGGCTTAACTTTTTAGAATTGCACATAGAAAGGCTAAGCTTGGGAAAAGCAGAAAACTTTCCCAGGAATAAGTCTCTGTTGTAGATAAAAAAAAATTGTAACACAGCAAAAATGCCTGCTCTAAGGGCAGATATCCTTGGTGCAGCTAAATCTAATGATGGGAAAGTCTTCAGTTGTTTCTTTAAGTTTCTTAGGGAACTGAGTGTTGCCATAATGATTATCTCACTGTTCTTTTTGTAACCACCTGTGTTCCTTTTCTGTAATTTTCTTGCCTGGGCAATAAAAATTGGGAGAAAACCTCATTCTGGTTTATTTCCCAGGAATTCCTTCTCTCTTAAAGAAGTCATCTCCTGGAATTTACCCCTTCGGGGCCTCTCACTGCTCTGGAGAAATGGGCTTTGACAAATATTCTGCATCTCTGTCACCCTCTCACTGCTCTGGAGAAATGGGCTTTGACAAATACTCTGCATCTCTGTCACACTGGGAGAGGTGACACCGATTATCTTAGTAGTGTTTTTTTCATCTTATATGCTCCTCTTTACATTTATGTCCTTAATTCCTCTGGATACTTTTTCTAAAAACATTATTTGAAAAAAATTTTTATAATTTCCATGTACAACTTTATGATTTTTCTATTTTAAGTCCTTGTTATAGCATATGTAGTTTACATAATTAAATCATCATATAAAAATACCATTTTATAATCTGATTTTGACTTAGGATTGTTATAACTATTTTCATGTTGTCATATTTTCTTTAGTTTAATTATCAATTTAATGCTGTGATAATGTATATATTTTTATAAAATACTTATTTGACCATTTTTCCATTGATTCATTTATGTTGCTTCCAATTTTAACTCTCATACCAATTCTACAAACAACATTAAAATAATTTCCCAAGTGTAATATCATTACCCAAATGCTAGATATTATCATTGTTATTGATAAGTATGAACATTAATTTTTTTTATGGCAGTTTTATCTGTAGTTGTNATATAGATTTTTTACATTCAAGTATGGCCAATGTTTCACTGTTGATAATTTTTCAGATAAAGGGAGGAACATGGGTAAAAAAAGTTATCTTGTTATTTTGTCTTATCGTCATACTAAGTTAACAGGAATGAAACTACATTTGATTATATTCATATAAACTTTATCAGCCAAATTTTATATTTTTCATACTGTTTTTTCAAAAATATCACCCTTTTGATTACCTTTAATCTTCTGTCAGCTCATCTTTTGGAATCTTGACAGTTTAGTAGAATGGATATTAATCTAGCAAAATAATAATTATATCTCTTAGTTAAGAATTATGATTTTGCTTTTTCTCTGCATATTATTTCTTTTTCTGTAACTTTTTTCCATTTTACGTAGTCCAGTCTGTCAATTTTCCCATTTTAATTTAGTCTATTATTTTAAAATATTAACAAATTATAATATTTCTTCTCTACTCTTCCATGATTTCATAATTATCTTTCTCTTCAAATATTGAATCGAAATGTGGAATTATCATGAGAAATTGGAAAAATGCTCCCCTATTCTTAATAATTTCTTCTTTCTTCATAAATGTTTTATTTTAAAGTTCGATATTATACAATGCAATCATTTCTCATGTCCCTTTACCAATTCCTTCCCATCTCTGGAAACCTCAGTTCTGTTCTCTCCTTTTGAAGGTTCAACATATTATTGTGATTGTTGCATCTTTCTGGTTTTAAGATAAATGTAGATAAGATCATTAAATATGTAAGGCACTGTTTGATATTAGAAGAGTAGACACCATCTATTGAAAGAAGAGTACAAATCCCTAAAAAATAGATTGGTCAGTGACAAGTTCAAAATTATGTTAAGAGATGAACTATAATTGAAGAAAGTCAAGTTTCCAAACAGGTTCTTTGAGATGCAAACAGAACC